AAAAAAAAAAAAGAATTTAGGAGAATGAGGGCAGTATTTTATTAAATTTTTTAGGAAACTATTTTAAAATAGGATTGTGGTACCACAGGTGGTGATGCACACTGGTAATACCAGCACTTGGGAAGCTGAGGCAGGAGGATCACCATGAGTTTAAGGCCAGCATGGCCTCTACATAATGAGAGCCTGTCTCAAAATAACAATTGTGATGATGGTTACAGAGCTGTAAAAATTTACTAAAAATAACTCTATCTATAATGAGCACATTTTACAATATTTAAATTATAACTCAAAATTACTCTGAAAAGGGAGTAGATACTGAAGCAATGTCAAATGAGTATAAAAGAGTCTGTAAATGCTTTCCATTTTCATATAGTCCTCCATTTCACAGACAGCTGGTCTATGGAACACACTCTGAAGAGCAATACTCTGATCTGGTTTCTGCTAGGTGTTGGCTAAGAGGCTATCAGCAATAAATAGTTAAAATTGATTTCCTTTAACACCATTCAAGTTTAACGCTAATAAATATTTCATTAATGACTTTACAAGTACTACTGACAAAAAGAATAGAAACATGATCTGTGGCTAAATAAAAATATAAGTCCTTAAAGAATGACTGTAAATAAGATACTAACAGAGAACAAAAATCAGCACAGTGCCCTTTTTGCCCCCAGTACTGAGGACTGAACCCAGCATCTTTACAATGAGTTACAGTTCTTATTTTATTTTACTTAAAGGAAATTTAATTTAGCTTATGCCTTTTTTATATTTTTATTTTGAGACACCACGCCTGGCATAATGAAGTTTTGAAATTGCCAAGTCCAAATTGAAATTATTTCCTTCCTATTAAAATGCAAGACCTTGCCAGGGATTTAGCTTGGTGGTGCTGTGCTGCGCCTGTCTTGCAAGTGCAAGGTCCTGAGGATCTGAGTATAATCCCCAGTACCCCCCCACACTAAAAAAGCAAAACCTGGGCTGAACATATTTATTTTGAATTATAAGGGCATCGACTTTAACTAAACAAGGTAACAAAGTCAGGATACCTAGTCATCCTTTAATTAATATATTCTACTTATGTGAAATAGGTCTAATGCTATTATTAAATCTCTCAATTTTTACAGCTATTCTAGGAAACTTGAAAAAAATATTTCAGAAAAAAAAAAGATCTTAGAGCCTGTTATCCTTCCCCTCATTATAACTATTCTTGATATTTCCTGACTCCTTGTACTTCAAGGAGTATATTACACTTAAGTTAGAGTAACAATCCAGGAAGGAAAGCTAAAGAAGTAAACAAAAACTGGAAGCATTTAATCTTACTTCATTTCTTTTTTCTAGGACACAGAATATTCTGACGAAAGTCATTTTCTACCACACCTCTCTCATACATGTTCATTCTCCAAAAATGCAGCATCAGGTTGCATTTGGCTTTCCTGTAAGTTATTATAATTAAATACATTTGTACTAGAAAAGCAAGCCAGACGTGGTGATGCATGCCTGTAATCCCAGCACTTGGGGGCTGAGGAAGGAGAATTGCTGTGAGTTCAAAGTCAGCCTGGACTACATAGACACTGTCTCTCCCTCAGACAGAGAGACAGAGAGAGAGAGAGAGAGAGAGAGAGACAGACAGACAGACACACACACACACACACACACACACAAATACTAATAAATATACAGACAAAAGGAGATGTTTGCCAACTTTTTTTTTTTTTGGCAGTGCTGGAGATCAAACCTGAGGTCTTGTACATGCTAGGCAAGTATTCTTCCACCAATTATATCCTCAGCCCACTACAACTATTCTTTTAACAATTTAAGGCCACATATATAATCTTACCCTTCTGGCTTTGTTTCCTAGACATTGCAGTTTCTTTGGCCTAAACAAAAAATTACAGAAGAAAAAAAATCCTTTTGTCTTTACTGGGTTCTGAGAGTATATCTGATTTAAAAGTTGCAACAGAAGTCTGTAGCTGAAAGTGATAAATGCAAAATCCTGATGGTTCAAAATTTGCTTGCTAGCTGTTAATCTCCGTTCCTTTGCTTTTATCAACTTCTTGTCAGGAACTATCATTGCAGACAGTCATGTCTTTTTTTCCTGGGAGATTCTGGAGGGAAAAACACAAATATACACATAAACTTTTACAATTATTACAACTACCTGTATGAAATATCTAGGTAACATCCATTTTTACTTTGAACTCTCTATATAAAACTAGTTTTGTGTGTGTGTTTTGTTTTTTTTGTTTTGTTTTGGTACTGGGGATCAAACTCGGGATCCTGCCCTTGTGAGGCAGGTGGCAGAACCACTGAGCTAAATCCCCTGCCCTAAAACTGATTTTTAAAAACATTGTAGAAAGAATATAGCTACTAAAAATATTCTTTTTGTTGTTGTTGTTGTTGTTGAGACAGGATATTGCTCAGGCTGGCCACAAACTCCCCCTGACTTAGTCTCCCAAGTGCTAGGATTATAGGTATGCCACGGATCCTGGCTCAAAGCAGCTTTTCCAAATTTTAAAGATACAACTGCTGCTTTTATTTTGTTTTGTTTTTGTGGTGCTAAGTATTGAACTCAAGGTCTTACCCATGCTAGGCAAGAGCTCTCTACTACTGAGCTGCAGTCCCAGCACCCCATTCTTTTTTTCAGAAAGTGACTGTCTTCCAGGCTGGCCTTGAATTTGCAATCAGCCTGCCTTACCATCTCAAGTAGCTGGGATTACAGGTGGGTACTGACATTCTATTTTTCTCCATATCACTAAACATTTTAAAGGTATATGCCCAGGAATTCTGGGTAAAGAAAGCCTGATAAGGATCACAACACTCATAAGCTAGAAAACAGATAATACTTAAATATTATAGCAGACTGTCAAATTAAAGAAAAACTGAAAAACATCACTCAATAGGAAGTCAGAAATAGCAAGAAATAAGCATAGATGAAAATAGAATAAAGAAAAGCCTTCAGAAGAAAAAATAATTAAAGCAATTAGAAGATAATACTGGAACACAAAAATAATCAATAGCTCAAATTAATATTGAGACTCAAGGCTCAATAAAAGGAATATAAAAAGCATTCACAAATAATATGCATGTAGGAAAATTCTCTTGAAATAAGATCTCAATCTGTTCCCTGCTACCATCAACCTATCAGAAAATCTATTTGTTCTACCTTTAAAATACACCTAGAAGTGAGCCACTTCTTATCTCCTTAACTGCTACCACCCGTTTATACCACAAACATCTCACACATGTAATCAAAATGGTAACAGCCTATAACTGGGATCCTGAGTCTTCTACCTGCCACCTGTGGCTTCTACTTCACTATGGGAGCTATTTAAAATTGTAAAACTGATTATGTCTGATGCTACTGGTTCAGACCCATATCACTAAAAAGTGAAAAAGTCCTTAGAGTAGTCCTCACGGTCCTATCAATTCAGGTGCCCTGCCCCCATTTCTGACCTCTCTGACTTCATGTCCTACTACCCTTCTCTCAACTCACATACTCTGAGACATTCCAGCCTCTTCATTATCCCTTTTATACTCTAAATACGTATAAAACATCCTTAAGGTGCTCCCTCTGCCAAGAATGTTCTTCCTGTAGATAGCGACATGGGATATTTCATCTCCTTCAGATTTTTTTCAAATGTTACTATCTCTGTAGTTATTAACTCTATAATTAATTCGCGCTAGAATCTAATGAACTTGGGGTTAAGAGAGTGGGAACATGTGGCATTATTACTTGGGGCTGTTCCCTTCACCTACTTCAGGTTAGTGGGAAAGGTAGTACCACCGAAGTGGGGAAAGCCATGAAAACCAGCAGCTTCTACCACAGAGGAAGCTGATTTGACATGAAGCAAAGCACAGAAAACCCCCACACTCATCGCATTGTCAGTAAGAGCTTGTAATTTTGGCAACAAGCAAGACCAAAGATCATCAGCCTAAGGTTGCTGTCATAGTTAGTGCAAGCAATGGTCCAGGAGATGAGACAGAAATCTAAAGAGCAAATCTGGAAACAAGACTCTAGGAGACCTTGGTAAGTGTTCCACACATCAGGATGGAGATACTGGAGAAAGTCAGACATCTCTGGCTGTCCACAAGCTTGCACACAGAAAAGACATATGAGGGCCCAATGAAAAAAAAGTTAAGGTTAGCAAACTATACCCAGAGGTCAAATCCATCCCTGCTTTCTGTTTTATTCTAACAAAGATAGGCTCACTGGTTTATTTGTTGTAGGATTTATGGCTGCTTTAGGACAGTAAAAATGAACAGCTGCAACTCAGACCACATGAACCAAAAACCCTAAAATATTTTCTACATGGCCCTTTCCAGAAAAAGTTCATCAAACCCTGTGATATGCTATAAGAAATCATCAATAAATTTTAAATGATTAACATCATACAAGTAGGTTCTCCAGTGACAATAGAATTTAATAAAAATCCAAAGGAGGGAAAAAGTATGGAAAATCTCCAAGTACCTACCTCAAAATTAAACCACATAATTCAAAATAACCCACAGATCAAAGAAAAAGATCACAAAGGAAATTAGAAAATAGTCTGAACTGAAACTAAATATAACACATCCAGAAATGTACAAGATATAATTAAAATGGTGTTTTAAACACTTAAAGCAGAAAAGTATTAAATCTATAATTTAAAAATTGGGCATAGTGGCACACATCTGTAATCCTAGCTACTCATGAGGCTGAGGTAGGAATATCACATGCTCCAGATCAGCCTGGACAAATTAGACAGATCTGTCTCAAAACAAAAAGGACTGCAGCTGAAGCTAAGTTGTAGAGTACTTGCCTAGTATATGTCAAGGCCCAGGTTTCAATCCTGTTACCCGCCCCCAAATCCTTTCACACAGACAATCACAAGGTCAGATCACATCTATCCAATATTTAAAGAAGATATAATACTAATTTTCCTAAAACTTACAGAAAACAGAACACTCCCTGATTAATTCCATGAGGATTGTGTAATAGGCAGAATTCCAAAGCTATTTCTTCAAGGTTCCTGTTCCCTACTTATTCATTCAAACATAATCTAACTACTGCTGTGCAAGAACTTAGCAGATATAATTAATCAAGGTCACATTCTTTAATGAGACTAGCCTGGGGTATTTAGGTAGGCCCAATTTAATGGCATGAACAGTACAGGGGAGCAATTTCTCTGGTTGGAGTCAAGAAAGATGTATCAGAAATACGGAAGAGAAATTAGAAACTGGAGAGATATCTAATCAGCCATTGGCTTTCAAGGAGCCACAAGGCCAGGAAATGCAGACAGCCTTAGAAGGTGCAAATAACCCTCCGTTAGTAGCCAGTAAGGAAATAGAAACCTCTGTCCTACAACTGCATGGAAGTGAATTCAGCTAAAACCTTGACTAAGTCTGAAAGCGAATTCTCCTTTAGAGTCGCCCAAAAGGAACACAATGCTGCCAATAATTTGGTATCAGCCTTGTAAGATTAATCAGAAATGAACCAGCCAAACAAAACCATGTCAACAAATGATAAACCAAAACTGAATAAATAGTGTTGCTGCTAAGTTGTTAAGTTTGTAGTAATTTTTTTATAGCTACAACAGAAAAAAAAAATTTTTTGGTACCAGGAATTGAACTCAAGACCTTCCACTTGTAAGGCAGGCAGCAGTACCACTGAACTAAATCCCTATAGACTTAACACAAAATTAATACAGCCCAATTATCCTGATACTGAAATCAAAGGCATCACAAGAAAACTACAATAGTCCACATAAAAATATAAATGTAAAATTCACTAATAAAATATTAGCAAATCAAATTCAGCAACACATTCTGACACAGTGTAACTTATCCCAGGAATCCAAGCTTGGTCTAACTTCCAAAAATCACTTAATATAACATACCGTATCCATAAAACAAATGACAAAAGCCACATGCTCAGCTCAGTGAAAATATATTAAAAGCATTTTACTAAACCCCTATAGCCATTCATGATCACAACTCTCAAACCAATGACAGAAATGGTCTCATATTTATAAAGCCCACAACCTATGACAAACCTACAATAGATCCCATATTTAATAATGAAAAACTATTCTCCCTCTTGTATCAGGAAAAAAGAAGAATGCCGACCTTCACCACTTGTTTTCAAAAATGTACTGAAGGGTCTTGTCAGAGCAATAAGGAAAAAGATAAGTCATTGAGATTGAAAAGGAAGAAAATGTTCTTATTCAAAGATGACAGGACCCATGTATAGCAAATAGTAGGAAATCCAAGCATGCACACACATACACAACTGTTAGGATGAATAAATTGGTTTAGCAAGATCAAAGAATAAGACTAGCATATAAAGGGCCAGGGATTTAGCTCAGTGGTTCAGCCACCTGCTTCGCAAGTACAAGGACCGGAGTTCGATCCCTGGTACCAAAAAAAAAAAAAAAGACTAGCATATAAAAATTAATAATCAATTGTATTTTCATATACTAGCAATAAGCAATCCAAAACTAAAATCAGCAAAAGGCATTCACAATACTTAGGAGGAGACCAAACATGGTAGTACACACCTGTAATCCCAACTCGGGAGACAGAGACAAGAGGACTGCCATGAATTCAAGGCCAGCCTGCACTACAAAGTGAGACTGTCTCAAAAAACCAAATCAAAACAAAAAACTCTTAGGAATAAATAAGAGACATATGCTAAAAATTGCAAAACACTGATGAAAGAAATTAAAGATCTCAAATAAATGCAGACACATTCCACATTCATGAATTGGAATATTCATGTTCTTTCCATAATCTATAAATTCATGCACACTACTAAAATTCCAAAAAACATTTTTATAGAAATTAGCAAACTATCTTAAAATTGGAAATGCAAGAAACTAGAATAGCCAAAACAATTTTACACTATATAAACACTTACCATAAAGCCATAGTCATGT